GCTGTAGAACTTTGCAGGAATTATGACTATGTCATGTATTTCCTATCTGTGAAATTTAAACGTTAGCAGTGTCCGAATATTCAAATTATGCAAGGAAACCCGTTTACTTGATAGACTTCACTGTCAGACACTATTGAGTGACTGACTGGCTTTTTTCCTTCTTTGGTAATAAAAATACATAACATGAGCTGTAAAGGGTAGGCCTACATATGAGCATTGATCTACATCAATAACCCACTTCTTGTAATGGCCAAAATTAAACTGATTGAAACTTTGCGCAGCATAAAACGTACAACCATGTAGTACAATGGTCTGAAAATCAAGACCATTACTTAATGGCTCTATAGCTCCTAAGTCGATTTGACAACTAATAGTCGTTATTTTTCCAACTTAAAGACATTTTTAAGCCCCCTCCCTTTTTAGGGGAGTTTTAAATTAGTATTATCTTTCAAATGCCATTGGAAATTAACCTTTTCATTTTTTTTTTGGCCTGCAAATGGGACATAGTACCTTTAAAAGAGGACAAAAGATATCTGCGTGCATGGGTGCGAAGTTGATTTTGAAAAAACATACTCCACAGAGCGCGAAGTTTGACCCGTAAAGATATCTATAGGTATTCTTTCCTGGGGTAACTGCAATAGATTTAACCTAAATAAAATTCACCTCTTGCAATAAAAGAGAAATAGGAATAATTGTTGACAAAAGAGTCGTGTTCACACCCGGCCAACCCGTTATTCCTCCAAAGCAAATCCATTGTATTGCACTAAAATACAATGCACCTCTTTCATTACTCACGGTCAAGGACGGCTTTATCCCCATGCTCAGGCGCGTACACAGGGGGGGGGGGGGGTTGAAAAATTATGCCCATGGCTGACCTAAAAAAGGTTACCTTACCCCCCCCCCCCCCCTCAACGAAAAAAAAATGTCCTCTTACCCCCCCCCCCCCCACACACACACATGATTTAGCAGTCATGCAAAACAAACACTCGCAAATTATTATTCAATAAAATCTGAGAATGTATACTATTATTTAGATCTATTAGGAATAAATCATTGTCAAAATCATTCCATAAATTGGGGTAAAAATAATTATTCCACCTTTATGACCAACAGTGTATGTTATGTTCAATTATGTTATTTTCGATAAAGTGGAAACAAATAAACTTGAAACTTGATAACACAGCCATATTCAGCATAACTATGATAGAGCCAGCGTCCTCCCCCCCCCCCACCCCCAGCTCCTCGGTCCCCCGAAAGTAATAAGCTGGACAAACTCCCCCCCCCTCCAAAAAAAACACACACACACACACACACACACACACACCAACACCCTCCCCCTCCAAAATTTAATGTTCATGTTGTTTTTTCGGAGAAGCGTAACTTATAACATACCTTAATACTAATAAAAGGGACAATCTTCAATCACCTTGATCAGTCACTATTTACGATGTCGCAATAATTTGGCGTAGGCCTACCTAGCGATTGGCCTACAATATATTTTTTTTTATTCATGACAGAAAATTGAGGATAATCAAAATTGGGAACAGCTCATGACTGTATCAATCAACCTATACATAGGACCAAATATGAATAGACAGTTCAGTGCACAATTCTGCCACAGCTTGATCAGTCACTATTTACGATGTCGCAATAATTTGGCGTAGGCCTACCTAGCGATTGGCCTACAATATATTTTTTTTTATTCATGACAGAAAATTGAGGATAATCAAAATTGGGAACAGCTCATGACTGTATCAATCAACCTATACATAGGACCAAATATGAATAGACAGTTCAGTGCACAATTCTGCCACAGCTTGGAGCTATCCTACCGAACTAGCTGAAATCCCTCGAGTCACACCGCTAAACCGTCTTTAAAGGCCCACTGCACTACTCGTAGCTACTTGCGCCCTCTTACAACAAACAATGCCTAATCGGTGACCATTGGTCCCCCATGATCCTCTTTTTCTTATGTTAACTGAGAGCTGAGTTGATGCGATAACCACCTGTCCAGTGACCTTGCAGGGCGCTCTAATCCCTCCTGTAAACTATGGCAGATAAGCTTAAAGAAAGGCTTCCAAAGGGGTTGGCCTAAGGTGCCGTAAAGATACTTAAAGGGATAGTTGAGTTCTGTTGCAGAGGGCGCTATACACAAAACATTTTTTTTTATGAGATAATGAAAAACTGAGTGTCAAATTTGAAAGAACATAATATTTAAATGACAAAATCGTCTTGTTTGATCAAAATCGGTTCAGAGACGGCTGAAATAAATGATAAATTTGATTAATGAAAATATGTTTGAAAAGCAGTTGCATTCCTCTCCGTGTAATCGAGGAGGCCTGGATATTTTGTTGTTATGTTTTCATGGTAACTGCAATAACACAGAAGAATCTTGTTTAAAGATATTATGTCCCTTTTGCAGCCAACCTCAAATGCTGTAGAACTTTGCAGGAATTATGACTATGTCATGTATTTCCTATCTGTGAAATTTAAACGTTAGCAGTGTCCGAATATTCAAATTATGCAAGGAAACCCGTTTACTTGATAGACTTCACTGTCAGACACTATTGAGTGACTGACTGGCTTTTTTCCTTCTTTGGTAATAAAAATACATAACATGAGCTGTAAAGGGTAGGCCTACATATGAGCATTGATCTACATCAATAACCCACTTCTTGTAATGGCCAAAATTAAACTGATTGAAACTTTGCGCAGCATAAAACGTACAACCATGTAGTACAATGGTCTGAAAATCAAGACCATTACTTAATGGCTCTATAGCTCCTAAGTCGATTTGACAACTAATAGTCGTTATTTTTTCCAACTTAAAGACATTTTCAAGCCCCCTCCCTTTTTAGGGGAGTTTTAAATTAGTATTATCTTTCAAATGCCATTGGAAATTAACCTTTTCATTTTTTTTTTTGGCCTGCAAATGGGACATAGTACCTTTAAAAGAGGACAAAAGATATCTGCGTGCATGGGTGCGAAGTTGATTTTGAAAAAAACATGCTCCACAGAGCGCGAAGTTTGACCCGTAAAGATATCTATAGGTATTCTTTCCTGGGGTAACTGCAATAGATTTAACCTAAATAAAATTCACCTCTTGCAATAAAAGAGAAATAAGAATAATTGTTGACAAAAGAGGTCGTGTTCACACCCGGCCAACCCGTTATTCCTCCAAAGCAAATCCATTGTATTGCACTAAAATACAATGCACCTCTTTCATTACTCACGGTCACGGACGGCTTTATCCCCATGCTCAGGCGCGTACACAGGGGGGGGGGGGGTTGAAAAATTATGCCCATGGCTGACCTAAAAAAGGTTACCTTACCCCCCCCCCTCAACGAAAAAAAATGTCCTCTTACCCCCCCCCCCCCCCCCACACACACACACATGATTTAGCAGTCATGCAAAACAAACACTCGCAAATTATTATTCAATAAAATCTGAGAATGTATACTATTATTTAGATCTATTAGGAATAAATCATTGTCAAAATCATTCCATAAATTGGGGTAAAAATAATTATTCCACCTTTATGACCAACAGTGTATGTTATGTTCAATTATGTTATTTTCGATAAAGTGGGAAACAAATAAACTTGAAACTTGATAACACAGCCATATTCAGCATAACTATGATAGAGCCAGCGTCCTCCCCCCCCCCCCCACCCCAGCTCCTCGGTCCCCCGAAAGTAATAAGCTGGACAAACTCCCCCCCCAAAAAAAAACAAAAAACAAAAAAAAACACACACACAAACACCCTCCCCCTCCAAAATTAAGTATAAAGCGCGCCTCACAAATTCATGCAAAATTTAATGTTCATGTTGGTTTTCGGAGAAACGTAACTTATAACATACCCTAATACTAATAAAAGGGACAATCTTCAATCACCTTGATCAGTCACTATTTACGATGTCGCAATAATTTGGCGTAGGCCTACCTAGCGATTGGCCTACAATAATTGTTTTTTTTATTCATGACAGAAAATTGAGGATAATCAAAATTGGGAACAGCTCATGACTGTATCAATCAACCTATACATAGGACCAAATATGAATAGACAGTTCAGTGCACAATTCTGCCACGGCTCGGAGCTTTCCTACTGAACTAGCTGAAATACCTCGAGTCACACCGCTAAACCGTCTTTAAAGGCCCACTGCACTACTCGTAGCTACTTGCGCCCTCTTACACCAAACAATGCCTAATCGGTGACCATTGGTCCCCCATGATCCTCTTTTTCTTATGTTAACTGAGAGCTGAGTTGATGAGATAACCACCTGTCCAGTGACCTTGCAGAGCGGTCTAATCCCTCCTGTAAACTATGGCAGATAAGCTTTAAAGAAAGGCTTCCAAAGGGGTTGGCCTAAGGTGCAGTAAAGATACTTAAAGGAATAGTTGAGTTCTGTTGCAGAGGGCGCTACACAAAACATTTTTTTGGTGAGATAATGAAAAACTGAGTGTCAAATTTGAAAGAACATAATATTAAATGACAAAATCATCTTGTTTGATCAAAATCGGTTCAGAGACGGCTGAAATATAACGATTTCTAATACTTGTGTACCACCACAAAATGTTGAAAAAACGAAATAACGCCTTAATTTTACGTCGTATTTCAGCCAATGCCGATGTTGGCTTTTTTGTTGGCATTTTCGTGTTGCTTACAATTATTACGCACAACCAGCCGGCCCATGCATTGTTATTTTTAATTAAATAGTTAATTAAAGGTCACCGTATTTTTTTTAAAAAGTGGAGCTGAATTGGTTTTGCTCGTACTGGCTAAATTTCACACATTTTGGGGTCTAAAAGGGCACTAGAAATGTCATAGATAATGAATAAGAGCAATAACCATGCACTTTGAAGGCATTTGCAGTCTGAAAACAGAACTCAACTATCCCTTTAACAGAATTTTATTTATTTTAGGAATTCTTCTTTGAAAAGGAACAATCGTTTTTTTTAGCCAAACAAACACCATTGCTCTATCACAAGTTGAAATCTTACCCAAGATTTCGAGTCCGGAGTCTTCTCCTAGCTTGAAAGAAAGACGACGTCTTTCGTCACGCCTCTCGTCACGTCGGGTGTCACGACGAGTCTCACGGCGCATGTCACGGCGCATGTCACGGCGCATCTCGGTACGGCGAGTTTCACGACGAGTATCCCGGCGGTCAAGGCGAGTATCCCGGCGTTCCTGACGACGGACTGCATCTGACATTAGAAGAAATAAGAAATTTAAAGGAGTTATATTTCCGTGATAATATTCAAATCTATGCATGTTTTTTCCCAATCGACATTACTTTTACTTTTTAGATAATAATTGACCAAATATATCAAATAGTAGGTGGTTGCCCGGCAAAATTTGTATCATTACTATTAGTCAAAACATAATTCTGGCACATGATGGGTAATAACAGCTTCCAAGTTCATTTTTGAGAAGGGCCGGGGCGTTTCTAAGCGTGAGACCGTTCACTTCTATCTCTCCCCGCCAAATAATCCGAACATAAGATCAAACATAATCATCATAATCTACAGGGTGCAACCAAAAATTTCTTAACAATTGAAACTTCTTTCAGGAAGCCTAAAAATAACTGTTTTGGTTCAAAGACGCTGAACAAATAAGAATAATAAAACATGAACGACTTTAAGCTTGAGACCGTTCACCTCTATCTTTCCCCGCCAAATAGTCCGAACAAAACAGTCAACCAAGGGGAATCAACTGTTAAACGAATTTATCATGAGTCCTGGAAAAATAAATTAATACTGCTTGTCATAAACATAGCAGTACCACCCCACCCCCCGAACCACCCCCGGTTACGGGCTTGCATCCCCGCCCCCCCCCCCCCACTCAGAGGTCGGAATGACCGCATGCGTGTTGCCAAAATGTCCGATAAAGGGGTACTTTTCGTGCTACAAAGTCCGGCCCGAGAATTGTAAAAAAAGGGGTGTATTTGACTTTTCACCCGGAGATTTCTTTAAAAAGGGGGTGTTTTTCCTTTTTTCTCTCATCTCTTTGGATTCCTGAGAAATTATTCCGAATTTAAGGGGGTACATTGAGCATTTTACCTGATTTAGGGGGGTCTCCAAGGCAGGAAAAGCCCGCGAAAAGCCCGCGAAAGGGGGGTTCGGAAATGTTGGCAGTCCTCAGATAGGGGGTGCTTTGAAAAAGAGGGTACGAGCATATGCGTACCCCAAATAACACTGAGTGGGGGGGGGGGGGGGGCCGGGCTTGCATCATCAAGAGAGAGAATATATATTTCGAGAGAATGACCTATGAAAGCTGAAAATTAGCTTATTTCCTTATAATCATATTATTCTTATGATAATCATACCACCGGCTAAATTTGTCGGGGAAGTGGCCCGTGCCCTCTTTAACATAAATACGATATTCATCAAGTATACAAAAGAAAAAAAATTACATTTCTTTCCCCGAACAACCTCAAATGAACCTCGAAAATTCAAACAACTTTTAATCACTTTATTTTGTCTGTTTTCAGCAATTTTCTGTCGCGGCCTGACAGCATATCTTCGTGCAATTATCACCTAAAAAGCTGATACCCCCTCTCTCTCTCTCTCTCTCTCTCTCTCTCTCTCCCTTTCTTCTCTCCCTCTCTCTTCTCTCATTCTCTCTCCTCCCTCTCTCCCTCTCTCTCTATCTCTCTCCTCTCTCTCTCGTTCTCTCTCTCTATGTGTTTGACAACATTTTTTTCAATATTAAAAATGGGATACTCCCCTGCTTGAAGCTTACCTGCCAGTACAGCTCCAAAGACTAGGACGGTGAGCAAAATGGCACAAAGTTGCTTCATTTTGATCGAAGTTCGGTGGGTGTGTCAATGAGAAACAGAAGCCAGCGAGATCGAGAAACGAGTGGATGTGCGTCGTTCAACATGCGGTTGAAGAATGAGCATAAATAACTGGGTACGGTGGGTACTCAAATAGATCGCATCACCCTCGTCACACCAACGAGCCCGACTTCACACCGCTAATACACCGAACAAAGAAATTGTCCGAGTTGGTCTTGGGTGTGACTGAGGTAGACTACCGAAATCCTGGGCCACACCTATCTGTGTGACTTGCAATAAGCCACTAAGGAAATACTTTCTGCGCATGGGCAGATACGGTTCATTATTATCTTGAACAAAACTGTAAAACCCATCGAGGCTATTAACTGCTTGATACATGTTTGTGTATTTGGAATCAATGAAAAATGCTTTGGAGGAAGGATATTATTTGTCTGCGGTACGATTATATAACAGGCAAATGTTGTTTGTATCGTTAATGAATGCATACCTATGCAGGGGCGGATCCACGTAGCGATTTTTCCGGCCCGCCCCCCCCCCCCTCCAGCCCCCCACAACGATTTAAAAAAAAATAGGATAATAACGTAAAGTTAACCTTTATAAAAAAAAATTAAAAAAAGCGCCCCCCCCTCCCCCGCTTATTAACCCAAGACGCGAACTGCGTTGGACTGGGCTGATGACTATTCTCTTTTATTTGTGCTGTAGATCACAGTGACTGGAAATTCATTTGAAATTGACCTAGTATATAGGTGCATTTGTATTTTAGTTGACTACACACCGTTAGAATTTTAAGGATAAATGATTAAAGGATAAAAGATTCGTCCTTAACGTTACGAGATGGCCTGGACCCTGGAGGTCCTGGAGTGAACTCAAAAGGTCGGGAAAGATGTCACTGCCCCAATGAAGATACTTTGGTTTTGTAATAACTATTAAAAAAAAAAGATGTGGTATTATATTGCCCTTTAGGTGCCAGAACCTGGGTCAGCCGGTCGGTCGGTCGGTCGGAAACCTCTTTTTTTTTTTCCCCTCAAAACAGCGACCATCGCCAAAAAAACTCAAAACCGGGAACGTCGTCCGAATTTCGCTGGTTTCTAGCTGGTGCAGGGCATGGTATACACATGTACACGAGGCCGGGGTCTACTTGTTTACGCTCGCAGGATTTTGAAATTAGGGCAGAAGACGAGTGAGAATTTGGAAATAAGTTGATGATGTTATACATTTATATCTCATTTAAACAAACAAAGTATATATATATTATTTTTATTAAACATTTTTTTTCTCAACATTTTTTATTTTATTAAAAAGCCAACCGTAGATTTTAAGATTTATGGGTCGGTCGCAAACGGGAATACAACATTTTTGTACGCCTTAGGGCAAGTACAGTTGCGGCCATCTCTGAAGGTGTGGAAATTACGAGTCAGATGTTGCCTCTACTATTCAAGTCGTCGAAATAACCTCTGCGACGCATTAGTGGTCTTTTTTCCTTACCACTAATGCGTCGAAGAGGTTATTTCGACGACTTGAATAGTAGATGCAAAATCGCAATTGGCCGCAATTATACGTTTTTTTTACAGGCCCTTAATAACAAATAAAATTATTTTAGCCCTCATGCAAAGGCCATTTTATTTAGTAAAATAAATAAATTACAAATCAATGAAATAAAGTCTTTCTTTAACTCAGATAAAAGAAAAATACTTTGATCATACAGATTAATGTTGCAGTGACTGTCATTTATTGTTATACAAAAATTGTTATACATACCAGATATAGAATGAATATATCTCTCGTCTTCATAATTATTGAATAATCTTCTTCAAAGAACTAAACATTTGAATTTTGTTATTAACCTATTGTACGAATAGCTGATACTTAATCAAAGTCACCATGCAATTCAAAGCATAGTCTTTGTCGTATTTATTACAACTCCCAGGTCTCTACACCCGTCCGGGGCAGTTATCTTTTTCGACTCTTTGAGTTCACTCAAGGCCATAGAATCTCGTAAGGACGAATCTTTTATTCTTGAAATTCTGACCCTGCATGTCGTCAGTGGCGTGCGCAGGATTTTTCGAGGGGGGGGGGGGGATGTGAAAATCGCGCCGAAAATTTCGCAACGATTCAGCCAGCAGCTAAATAAGCAGAAGGAGGGAGGGGGGGGTGTAAGAGGACTTTTTTTTTGTCCCGAAAATTTGGAAACTTGGCCGATATTTTGTTCAGTTGGGGGGGGGGGGGGGGGGGGTAAGGTTGCCTTTATTGGTCACCCTTTAGGGGGGGGGGGGAGAGTTTCCTCCAAAACACACACATTTAAAGGGAGGAGGAAGTCAGCAAAAAAAACGAAAACATTCTGCTGATTTTTGTTCCCCTTTTTTTCTCGTTTGGCTTATCAGAAAATTCTAAGTAAAAATGCACCCCAAAAATGTTGATGAACTTTTTGTTTCTTCTTCCTTTTTCTCTTTTGCTTGTCAGAAAATTTTCCCGAATATTGGGCCCCTCCCATCACAAATCCTGGATCCGGCGCTGAATTGGGTGACCTAACTTCGAGCGCATTTTTATTTTTTAAGGAATCCATAATTTCCAAAATTATACTGAAAACAATGTAGATTGATAATTACGAAATGGAAAGGACAATTTTAAGCTACGAATGGATACAAGAAGAAAAAGATTTTCGACCAAGAATTCCAGATATCGCGGGGGGAGGGGGGGGGGAGGGCTTGAGGAGGGCAGTTGCCCCCCTCCCAAATATTATTCAAACGTGGTTTATTTCTAATTCGATACCACATGATTTTCAAATGTGGCTGAAATGACATGATTTTCTGAGATTTTGTTTGTATATCATACTTTTGTATGCGTTTGTTGGAAAATGAAAAATTCCCACATTTACAGTCAGCTAAAAATGTGCGTATTTAGTAGCCTACATGTCGCGGCCCGCGGAACGGGTGTTCCGCTCCCTGAACCCCACAAGGGGCGCTAAGACGTGCCCCTGGATACTCATCTGACCGTAATCAAATGCCTTAAACCCCTTAGCTTCCGAGCAGTGGCGTACCTGGGGTACTCCGTCAGGGGGGGGGGGGGCAAGCGACCGAAACAAACAAAAAAGGCGATGCTAATTTTCACTTCTGGCGAGCGAGCAAGCAAAAAAAAATATCTAAGTAACGTTTGGTATATAAACTGGTATTGTTGCAAGTTGGGGGTGGGAACATTCACTTGTAAGCGACGTTAATTTCATTTTTTTTGCAAACGAGCGTAGCGAGCAAGCAAAAAATCACTTCTTTTTTAATAATTGCCACTTAAACTTGGTTCAATTGTCCCATGCAGGGCGCGGGAACAATATTGTGTTTAGGGTGATTTTATACCCTTCTTAGCTAGCGAGCGAAAATACATCTTTCTCTCAATTAATTGCTATATAAAATTTGTTTCATTGTTGCAGGTCGGGGGGCACAATCGTGTTTAAGGCAATGTCAATCCCATTTTGGCGGGCAGGCAACCCCCTACATTTCTCTTTTTAATGATATTGTAGCAGGTTAGTGGTGGGCACATAACTCCAGGAGCTAGCGAGCAAAAAAAATCACTTCTCTTTGATAGGGAAAATATGGTACATAAAACTTGGGTTCATTGTTCCATGTCAGGGACGTGATTATTAAAAGCGGTGTTATTTCTATTTTGGCGAGCGAGCGTAGCGAGCGAGCAAAAAAAATCACTTCTCTTTTATAGGGAAAATATGGTACATAAAACTTGGGTTCATTGTTCCATGTCAGGGACGTGATTATTAAAAGCGGTGTTATTTCTAATTTGGCGAGCGAGCGTAGCGAGCGAGCAAAAAAAAATCACTTCTCTTTTATAGGGAAAATATGGTACATAAAACTTGGGTTCATTGTTCCATGTCAGGGACGTGATTATTAAAAGCGGTGTTATTTCTATTTTGGCGAGCGAGCGTAGCGAGCGAGCAAAATTTTTGTAATGATAATTGGTTCATAAATTTCAGATTTGTTTGTTGCAGGTCAGGGCTTACACGATCATGTCTAAGGTGATGTTAATTCCGTTTTGGCGAGCACGAGCACACCAAAACTTCTTTGAAAAACGTTTGGTACATAATTATTAACTGGTTGTTGCAGGTTGGGGCGGGCACGTTAGCGGTGTCAATTCCATTTTGGCGAGCGAGCATAGCGAGCAAGCAAAAAAAAATTAATAGAAATTAATAAATAAACTTGTTTTTATTGGTGCAGGTCAGGATGGACGCAATCGCGTTTAACGCGATTCAATTCCTTTTTGGCGAGAGGGCGAAAAAAACTCTTCCATTTTTAATGATATTGTTGCAGGTCAAGGGTGGGCACAATTGTTTCCAAAGCAATGTCTATTCATTTTATTCGCGAGCGAGTGTAGCGAGCGAGAAAAATGAATTAGTCTCTTTTAGTAACATTTGGTACATACATTGTGTATTATTGTTGCCATGGTTGCAGGTCGGGGCCCGTCGGGGCAGGCACAATTGTATTATAGGCAATGCTAATCCTTTTCTTTTTTCAGGGGGACGAGCAAGTGAAAACATTTAATACAAAATAGGCTAGCAAGCAGTTCGCGCCAGCGAAGAGTTTCGAATTTGTTATATCACTTATATTTTCCTATTTTCATTTGTCTTAATTTTTCAGGGCCGTATGCGGAATATTTTTCTGGTGGGGGAGGGGGAAAGATGCGTTAAAAGTTTTTGAAGAATCTCAAAAGCAAAAGGAGTGAAGGGAGTTCGAGCGACCGAACTGGTCATGAGGGTACTTTTGCATTTTCAAAAGTAGAATTGAAGGATTTGGTATAGGCCTACACTACATTTTCAGGAAAAAAACTGTACGTTTTCAAAATATCTGGGGTCAACTGCCCCCCCCCCCCCTGGTGCGTACGGCCATGGTCTTTTTTTTTTAATTTCCCCATTATTTTCTTTTCCTTTTCTTTTCCCTTTTTCTTCCTTTTCTCTTCTTTTTCCTTTTTTCTTTCCTTTTCCTTTTTTTCTTTTTTTCTCTTTCTTTCCTTTTTTTCTTCCCTTTTCCTTTTTTCTTTTTCTTTCCTTTCCTTCCTTTTCTTTTCTTTCCCCTTTTTCTTTTTTTCCCCTGGAGCCCGTCAGGGGGGCACTCTGCCCCCCTGCCCCCCCATAGGTACGCCAGTGCCAGTCGTGCATATAGCCACACCGTAAAGATAGAGAAGAACAGATGCTATTCTCCTGCAAGAAATTCAGGAATAGAAAGACGAACAATTATCAAATAATAATGTCTACTTAAAGTCTACTTTATATTCCATTATATATTTTATCTTGTATTCCACCTTAAAGGTACTAATACAAAGTTTTGGTATGGGGTCATGAATGTGGTTCAAATGAACATATTGGAAGCAAATGCGATCTTACAATATTCAGTGATCGTTGTCGCGGTTGAAATCGCGTCTACTGTAAAGTGATGAAATTGTAAATAATAAACTCTTTATGTTGTATAGCTTCCTCTCAAGACTGACATTACTTTAGCTTTCAAACAATGTTTCTTGACTACGATCGACCGATTTGCTATTCCCGTTTGGAAATTATATATTAGAACTGCAGCCGGGAGCCCCGTTAAATTTTGATTATTCAATTTCTCGGAAGCAGAAGTTGTTTAGGGGCTCCATTTTCTAGTACTTGTAATCCATCCACAGGGGCATCCAAATATATCAAAACTTTAAAGAATTACTATCCATCCAATTTTCAAAATTTCCCAAAACTGTGCATTACCTTTAATATGTTCTATTCCTATTCTATTCAGAAATTTCTCTTAACAGCGATTGAAACTTCCCCCAGAAAGCCTGAAATGTTAATATTTTGTTTATTCAAATAGCATTGTAAAGACGATGAGCAAATAAGAATAGCAATAATACTTCGTCTTTAATGGTGAAAATTTTCGCTTCTACCTCAATCTGCTATTTCATGCGAACATTAATGGAATCAACCGAGTAAGATCAACTGTAAAATTACTTACCTTGAGTCCCTAAAGAGTATATTCATTGCTATTCCATGTCATGGTTCAGTTTCAGATGTCAGTTTCCAGTTTAGTTTTATTTCATATTTCACGTTCACATTCGTAACATAAATCATTTGCAATAAACAATAAGAATTAATATGTTTTCAGGAGTCGGGCGATCTGTGTCGGATGCGTGTGAAGGATGAGAACATGGATGATTAAAGATTATAAAATGATGACGTGGATCTTAATCAAATGATTGGTTGAGAGCGCACACGTGACCAGGCATTCATTTCGCCTAACACGTGATTTTGATAATGACCGGTCATCATAATCTTATAAAACAAATAATACACATTAGTTTGTTCGGGCATTAGAAAAATTACCCACACAGGGTACATTTGGAACAGTCCTGGTGATACTAATGCCCTCACTGATGTGTATTATTTGTATAATAAACAATACATAAAAACGAACAGCATCGGTACTAACCTGCCCCATATTCCATATGCCTCGTAGGCCAAGGCTGGGTAAGGATAGCGGTGGATTTCGGTGCGGTATTTCGAGTACCTCTGACGGAGTAGTATCCAGCTCTTAGAGAGTAAAGTCCCCGAGAACGCCGACAGGAGTAGAGCCACAATGGCCACCACCAGACCCCATGCACCTAAGGAGAAGAAGATAAAAATCCATAATAATAAGAGGGTATACCATAACTATTTAGTGTATAATGATTTATTAATAGTTTATAGTATATTGTGATTTGCCATTTTTAATTTTTATAAATGGGTTTCAAGCAGGCGCGGATCCAGGATTTTCCAATAGGGGGGGGGGGGGGGGGGGCCGGAAATTTGAAAATTGCGCAGACCGTTTTTTCAAGGTCATTTTAGAAGCACCATACCGGTACAATTTTTGACATTTTTATCTCTGGGGGGCGGGGGGGGGGGGGGGGTTATAGCCTCTTGCCCGAAAAAGTAATTTTCTGGTTTCACAATTCGGCTAGTGAGCGAGCAACAATCACCAAAATAAACAAGAAAAGATATCAAAAACTCATATTCGGGCAGCTCGCTGTCCCCCCCCCCCCCCCCCCCCCCCCCCCATTACGCGCGAAGCGCGGAAGCTATGACCTTTCATTAATTATTAGAGAAAAAAGACGATTTGTTGTATCATTCTGGACTCGTATTCCTTGTCTGATTTCAGTTTACCCCCTCCCGCGCGAAGCGCGGAAGCTTTGACGTTTCATTAAATTATTAGAGAAAGAAGACGATTCGTTGTATCATTCTCGACTCTTAATCCTTGTTTGAAGGCAGTTCCCCCCCTCTCGCGCGAAGCGTGGAAGCTTTGACATTTCATTAAATTATTAGAGAAAGAAGTCGATTCGTGACTCTTAATCCATGTTTGAATGCAGTTTCCCCCACCCCCCTCTCGCGCGAAACGTGGAAGCTTTGACGTTTCATTAAATATCAGAGAAAGAAGACGAGTCGTTGTATACCATTCTCGACTCTTAATCCTTGTCTGAATTCAGTTTCCTCCCGCCCGCGCGAAGCGCGAAAGTTTTGCCCTTTCATTAATTATTAAAGAAAGAAGATTTGTTGTACCATTCTCGACTCTTATTACTTGACTGAATTCAGCCCCCCTCCTGCGCTTTGCACGTAAGCTTAACGTTTCATTTAATTATTAGAGAAAGAAGATGATTCGTTGTTCCGTTCTCGACTCTTAATCCTTGTCTGAATTCAGTGGGCCCCTGCCCGCGCGTAGCGCGTAAGCTTTGACGTTTCATTAAATTATTAGAGAAAGAAGACGATTCGTGACTCTTAATCCTTGTTTGAATGCAGTTTCCCCCGTGGAAGCGTGGAAGCTTTGACGTTTCATTAAATTATTAGAGAAAGAAGATGATTCGTTTTACCATTCTTGACTCCCAATCCTTGTCTGAATTCAGTTGCCCCCCTCCCGAGCGATGCGCGGAAGTTTCGACATTTCATTAAATTACTAGAGAAAGAAGACGATTCGTGACTCATAATCCTTGTTTGAATGCAGTTTCCCCCGTGGAAGCGTGGAAGCTTTGACGTTTCATTAAATTATTAGAGAAAGAAGATGATTCGTTTTACCATTCTTGACTCCCAATCCTTGTCTGAATTCAGTTGCCCCCCTCCCGAGCGATGCGCGGAAGTTTCGACATTTCATTAAATTACTAGAGAAAGAAGACGATTCGTGGTACTGTTTTCGACTATTGTCAGAATTTTCAAAAATGTTTCTTTGTCTGTTCCTTTTTCGTCCTATGTCCTCTTACTGCCCCTACCGCCCCTAGCTAAGCGCCTGCTTTAAAGGGAAAATGAAACAATCATGATTGTGATAGCACACAATTAGGTAAGTAGAAATGAAAGGGAAAAAAGATCTTTTACACCAACCATGGATAAATCACGGCCGGGAGCGTCATAGATTTGTGTTATCGGGCGAGGGCCGGGGCGTAGCGACCAAGCGAGATTTTGCAATGTTGAATGCTGAAATTAATCATTCTAGAAAATCCCTAAGCCCAATATGTGCGTTCTTTCCGCTATATTTCTTTCTAGCTATCTTTCTAAATTTCCTGGGGGACGTGTCCCCTATCGGGTCAAGGATTGCCGCCCCTGTCCATGATTACTACCAACATGAGTTCAAATACAAGCACAAGCGATTTGGTATGAGCTGAATCCAAATGAAGGGCAAAATTAAGAGTTGTGAAGCGGCCCTACCGTAAGACATCCAAAATATTGTGCCCTTTTTCAAATTTCTCACTAAAGAGTGATGACCGCAGGGGCTGTTCTTAACGTTTAACTTTGAATCCGCGGCTCGAGATTTTAAGCGGCCGGTGTCATGTAGGACTTCTAAAAAAAAGATTCTTATACAGATGGCCCCCACATTGAGCTCTGAACCCAACAATTTTGAATTTTGAACGTAGGCCCTCAACATATACAAACCCTAAAGAATTATAATCATGACCGCCTATGAACAAAATAGTTTGGGATCCTGCATATGTGCGGGGCTCCACACTAACTTTTTTTTCATAAGGAGTCTATACATTTTTGGGGGTTTGTCTACATACGGCACTTGTTTTTATTTTTAGAGGGGGGGGGGGGGTCATCTTTAATCTATTCCTAATTTATACTACACATCTGTTTTGTAGTTAACCTTGAATAAATTGATATAACTTTTTCAACCAGATAATGCAAAACATGTTGTTTACCTCTTATTAGTCTAATATATTTATGTGGTCCTAAGAGGTTTCGACTTGTGCAAGGTTACCTGTACATTTAAACGTGTTAAATTGTAAGACTTACGGTCCGGAAAAAGAGTCAGTGACGAAGCTCCGAGGGGAGGGGGGGGGGATAAAAAGGGCACATGCATTTTCTGAATTGTATTGTAAGAAAGAGAGAGAGAGAGAGAGAGAAAGAGAAAGATAGAGAGAAATAGAGTGAGAGAGAAAGAATGAGAGATCATGGTCAAGGATTTAAATTCAATTTTCTTTAAAATTGTAAACCTGGTGTTAATGAAACTATCTGATATGTCATTACCACGTAGTGCCACGTACAAAAATTAACCACGACTATGATGTTTATTGCTGTGAAAAAAACTATTGACTTTTCACCCAGTAAATTATTATCATGTTTTCGATCTTGTTATTGAAAAAGTCAGAATTTTCCTTTGTCCTCGAACCAGCGGGGTCTACTGGGTGCAAACAGAAATTTCTAAACATCAATTGAAACTTATTCCAGGAAGACTAACAATTAAAGCTGTTGTTTATTCAAATAGCCTTGTAGAGGCGATGAACAGATAGTAATGATACAGGGCCCTGGGAACGATTTTTTTCACCGGGGCCGCTGAGATATATATATACTGCGAAATTATTTTCGCAACGACTCAGCCAGCCGCTGAATAAAAATTGCAGGGAGTGCTGTGCCCCCCCCCCCCCCCAGCACCCCCGCTTCCCAGGTCCATGTATAATAATACACAGCCGTTGGCACTGCGGACAGTGAAAACAACAATGTGAAATCAACAGTGAAAACAACAAAGTGAAATCAACTGTGAAATCAACTACATGTTTCAAAAGTCCCTAAAGAGTAAATTGCTATTCCATATCCTATAGCATTACATAATATTAATAATAGATACTTGATAGCGCACATATCCACCATACAAGGTGCTCACGGCGCTTCGGTGTTTCACCGGTGTCAGGGGCCAGAGTGACCGGTTGACGTTCTGTGTCCTAAGACACAGAACGCCGAAAATTGGTTGGCGATACACGTCCGTCTTCGGCGATAATAGGGTGCTTTAGTAACGAGACGGAAGGCAAAGAGGACGGGAGAAATCACTCAACCGAGATCAAATAATGTATGCAGTTAAGATTCTGTCTATTGAAATACTATTATTCGTATCAGGTGAATGAAATAATTTGTATTGAGGCACTTCACAGAGACGTATGCATTTAATTTGGTTACATTACGAAAATGGTCTATTGTACGGCGATACAACTCTTCCGTCGAGTTTAGGGAACGAACGCTATTATGGCTGAGACAGGTCGTGAAAATCAACAAGACGGAGACAATTCTGGTTCGCACATGCGCAGATTGATTATTTTGCTCGGTTACCCTCGTCTTTGCCTTCCGTCATTTTCGTAATGTAACCAAATTTAATGCATAAGTCTTTGTGAAGTGCCTCAATACAAATTATTTCATTCACCTGATAAGAATAATAGTATTTCAATAGACAGAATCCGAACTGCATACATTATTTGATCTCGGTTGAGTGAATTCTCCCGTCCTCTTTGCCTTCCGTCTCGTTACTAAAGCGCCCTAGTGTGTCTTGGGTCGGACGCATATCGCCGTGTATATCACGGCGAAATCAGTCCACTGGCGAAATGCGTTCTACAACTTAAAAATCGACTTAAAGTGTGCATATCTCCAGTCTCTCTCTCACACAAACCCTGGTCTTCCTCCAGTTTCATCTATCTTTTCATTCATCCCTCTCGGGCTCTTCCTTCTCTATTTTTATGTCAGTATACCATTACTTTTCTCTCTTTCTTTTTATCTTCTCTCTCTCTCTCTCTCTCGTTCTCACTGCCGACTCTATTTTGTTCACCTTTTATCTTTCCTCTCGTATCAGTGCTCACATCTGTTTACCCCCACCACTTTTGTTTTCCTTGTTCCACTCTCTATTTACCGCCTCCCCCTCCCCCTCTCTCTTTCTCTCTCTCTCTCTCTCTCTCTCTTTCTCTCCCTGTATATTAATAATTATCTAGCGTGCATAATTTTCGCTTTTCTTATAATGTTCCAGGATGCACGAATTCATTATTTGTTCTATATAATATATTCATATTTAAAGTATCATACAATTATTTTGTGTAATGTTGTTTTCCATAGTATTGATTATCACTAATACTTCATGTATACTTGTGAAGAGTCTTGTGGAGACTGACTTCCCCTATAATGAAAAGGGTGGTAAGTTTCGGGGGGGGGGGGGGGTAATTGTCATCGGGGTGGTTGTCCTTCATGGTTCTCCTCACCTTTTAACTTTCCTCTCGTATACGGTACTCAACCCCCCCCTCTCTCTCTCTCTCTCTCTCTCTCTCTCTCTCAATGAATATTTAAAAATAGAATACCAAATTTGCATGAATTATAATTCAGAAGAGTA